AGCTATTTCTACAAGCCTGGGGATAAAAGCATGTGTAAAATTTAATGCTGCTTTTGCTACTAAGCTTTACAGTGTGCACCAAAAATGGGCTACGTGCTAACCTGACAAGCTCACTGATGGCCTTACAAATTCAGAGACAAAAATGAACACAAAGGGTGGTGTGAAATGAAAATTTTTAAACTAAAAATAGTTTATGGCAAGTAATCTTGTTCTGCACTAGAATCTTCTCTGAAAAAAGTCAATCTTACCTTGACTGAGCCTGTCTCTTGTCTTTTGCATTTAACATAACATACATTTGAAATGCCAAGGTAACATCTCTCTTCCCAGACTCCCCAGTGCACTAAAATACATGAGAGCAGAGACCATAAAAATTGTCATCGTTACTGTTATCATGTTGTTGACTATTAACTATCTTGTACTCACCTATGTAAGAGATGTATATGTCTCTCAATTTATATTTATTCAATCCTAGAGGTTTTTCCACTTTGCTTTCTCCAACCTCTCTAATGTCACCAATGACTTCATGTAACCCACCCACATCTTTTCTTTTGCTGGTAATGTATAAAATAAGGTGCAAAACTTTCATTCTCTGGAGCATTATTTCAAGGCATTGAGATATTTCTTCATGGCAATTGTCAACAGTTTGGCTCAAATAAATTCACAAAAATTTTTTCACAGGTTTGGGTATTTCTTATGTTGACATTTACCTGCCATGGTGTCACAGGATACCTAAGAAGCTCACCCAAGACTATCCCATGAACCCAGACCCAGTGCTAAGAGCCAGCAAAGAGCCCATAAAGCCCACTACTTTTCTGCCCCATTGGTTGAACTTGGGTAAGGTTTCTCTTGGATCCAGGATCTTCCTTTGCTTGTAGTAGATGGTCAAACTTTATGTGAGCTGTATTTTAAATTTTTCAAGGTGGACCTCAGGTTAAAGTTTGACAGAATATAGGCCAACGTGAGACAGTAGACAAAAAAATTGTGGCTGATTTATAATTCTGGCTTTTTAATTGGAATTGCTTTCTGAAATTCTAAGCAAAAGGCTTAGTTATATGAATAAGAGCTGAGTAAGTTCATCTCTAAAGATAAAGCACATGTCTTCTTGTTGTAACATGTCATTGAGATAACCAGAGACACACAACTGACTTGTGAAGGAGTACTTTATTACACTGATGAACTGGAAGGATCTTCCAAATTGCAGCCTGGAGCTTTTTTGTTCTTTGCTTATATAAAAACAAAATACAGAAAAATTACATTAAAAAACAAAACAAACAAACAAAAAACAACAACAGAAAGAGCCACATTCAAAGAAGAAACTTACATTCCTTCTGCCTCTACTTAATTGACATCAGGTGTGATACAGACGTCTCCAGAGAAGAAAGGGAGTTGGTTGCAGGAGTTAGGGCATAATTATTAATCTGTCTCTTTTTTTAATGGTTCCTTCAAGTTTCCCAAGGCCATTATTGACCCCTTATTTTTATGATTTTTCTAAGTGTTAGTCCCAGTTTAAGAAAACTGCTCAGGTGTTTATGTGCAAAAATAAATGATTAGAATGGAGTTTGATATTTTAAAATAGCCCAGTTCATTTTCCACTGGTTTTATATACATGAGTCAAATTGTTGACTTCTCCTCCTTCTCTGGGACAGGGCTATATTGTTCCTTAACTACAAGGAGTTTTATAGAATATATTATCCTCTGTATAGTTTTCATGAGGTTGTTCATTATGTATGGCCCTAACATTAGAAGGGAGCATAATATGGCTGGAGGACAAGTGATGCCTCATAATAAAGTTGTTAGTTATGGAGACCAGTTCAATATTTGTTGAAACCATTTATCAGATCCTCATCTTTTTTTTTTTGTTCCTTGATATTACTCCTAAAAGTAATCTTTCTTGTATAACCCTGGAGTTGTTAGCATAGAAACAGCAGGTTATTTTCCAGTGCTTCACAGAATTTTTCCTGCTTGAGAAATAGGAGACATAAACCTCATCCGTTTTGTGTTGCTGGATGTTATACTTATGTGGGAGTATGCAAGTTTCTTGCCCCTGGATATCCCCCAAAATTAACTTGGGCTGGTCTCATGTACAGTTTTCAGCAGTTAGGGTCTGAAAAATTGACTCAGATAGGCCCATCCCTATATAATAAGTTGGCCTTGAATTTAGGCATAACAAGCAGTTAGGCATAACCAGCAGTGTGACCCCAGAAATATGTGGCTGACTAATGACATTAATCTGGATGGGATTAGTGTTCCTTGTGGAGAAACACTTGGGCTTTGCTAATCTTCCAAAATTTATGTAATGGTTCCTGCTTCTCAGATAACTCTTAGTATTAAATATGATTTTACAACCCTGAGATGGACCAAAGTATTTGTATGCATTCAAGCAAGTTGTGGTGATTGTATAGATTTGTATCTCTTGTAGTTCTCATTTTTCTGTAGCTGTCTCATAATCCCAGGAAAGGAGCCATCTTACATAACATCAACCTTCAGTAATACCATATGTGCCTATTGTGCCTCACATGAGGTCCCATAGTTTGAGACGGAAATAGGATTTTCTATTCCCTTTTTGGTGGCACTTTTGAAGACCTCCCCAATATTTTATTTTTAAGTACCCAGTTCCACTGGGGCCCAGATCTATAAAGATACCCCTGTATAGTCATAATCAGAAAAATTAGAGTCCTAATAAACACAAGTCTCATTTTTGAGGGATCTGAAGAGGCCTGGTTTGTCCATTTTGCTTTTTTCCTTTGTTAGGGTCTGAGAGTGCCCCGAGGCTCCCAGAGGCCTTCGCGGGAAACAAAGGGCCAAAGAAAATTTTCCAGTCGTCTCCTAGCTAAACCCCCTCCCTTTCCTAGCAATTCTCCAAGGACATCTTGAGAGCATCTTGAGCCTTGGGAAAACCACCTGCAGGGTGTACGTGCCAAAGAATGCTTCTGCAAGGCCAGCTAACCGCTGATATCTGCTTCTGTACATCCTGCTTGCTTGCAATTTGCACCACAACCCCCCTATAAAACTCAGCCATACTAGCTCCTGGGGGCTGCTGCTCTCAGCTGTGTCCGTAGGGGGCAGACCCTGCATGCAGGTTTTAGCATAATAAAGCACATTCAAATCTAAAGAATTAAGTCTGAGTGTGGTCGATCTCCTGGGTTACAACATTTGGAGGCCCCAGCGAGATCAGCCGCGAGGTCCCCCTTTTCTGTGGGGTCGACCTCCTCAGACGACGGGGAGGGCTGCCTCCTCGCCCTCCGCACCTACATTCGTTCTGGCTTTTGATTCGGCTAATTCGGACTAGGACTTCGGCCTCGAGGATCTGGGTAAGGGATTTCCCTTTCAGTAGCTCCAGAGCGTTCTGGGATTGTTGCGGGCGGGACGCCGCTCAACCGCACTTCACCCTCAGGGTCGGGACGCCGACTCCTGACCTGGGAGACCCGGTGGGTTTCCATCTGTTCTGAAATTGGTACCAATCTGTTTTAATCTGGCACTTGCGAGTGCGTCTGGCACTTTTGGGTGCAGGGAACCCGGTGGGTTTCCATCTGACACTTTCGGGTGCATCTGGCACTTTCGAGTGCATCTGGCACTTTCGGGTGCAGGGAACCCGGTGGGTTTCCATCTGGCACTTTCGAGTGCATCTTGCACTTTTGGGTGCGTCTGGCACTTTCAGGTGCAGGGACCCGGTGGGTTTCCATCTGGCACTTTCGGGTGCGTCTGGCACTTTCGGGTACGTCTGGCACTTTCGGGTGCGTCTGGCACTTTCGGGTGCAGGGAACCCGGTGGGTTTCCATCTGGCACTTTCGGGTGAATCTGGCACTTTCGAGTGCATCTGGCACTTTCGGGTGCAGGAAACCCAGTGGGTTTCCATCTGGCACTTTCGAGTGCATCTGGCACTTTCAGGTGCCTCTGGCACTTTTGGGTGCAGGGAACCCGGTGGGTTTCCATCTGGCACTTTCGAGTGCATCTGGCACTTTGGGGTGCATCTGGCACTTTTGGGTGCATCTGGCACTTTCGGGTGCGTCTGGCACTTTCGGGTGCAGGAAACCCAGTGGGTTTCCATCTGGCACTTTCGAGTTCATCTGGCACTTTCGGGTGCAGGAAACCCGGTGGGTTTCCATCTGGCAATTTCGAGTGCATCTGGCACTTTCGGGTGCATCTGGCACTTTCGGGTGCAGGGAACCCGGTGGGTTTCCATCTGGCACTTTCGGGTGCGTCTGGCACTTTCGAGTGCATCTGGCACTTTCGGGTGCGTCTGGCACTTCCGGGTGCGTCTGGCACTTTCGGGTGCAGGGAACCCGGTGGGTTTCCATCTGGCACTTTCGGGTGCATCTGGCACTTTCGAGTGCATCTGGCACTTTCGGGTGCAGGAAACCCGGTGGGTTTCCATCTGGCACTTTCGAGTGCATCTGGCACTTTTGGGTGCATCTGGCACTTTCAGGTGCAGGGACCCGGTGGGTTTCCATCTGGCACTTTCGGGTGCGTCTGGCACTTTCGAGTGCATCTGGCACTTTCGGGTACGTCTGGCACTTTCGTGTGCGTCTGGCACTTTCGAGTGCATCTGGCACTTTCGGGTGCGTCTGGCACTTTCGGGTGCGTCTGGCACTTTCGGGTGCAGGGAACCCGGTGGGTTTCCATCTGGCACTTTCGGGTGCATCTGGCACTTTCGAGTGCATCTGGCACTTTCGGGTGCATCTGGCACTTTCGGGTGCATCTGGCACTTTCGGGTGCGTCTGGCACTTTTGGGTGCAGGGAACCCGGTGGGTTTCCATCTGGCACTTTCGGGTGCGTCTGGCACTTTTGGGTGCAGGGAACCTGGTGGGTTTCCATCTGGCACTTTCGGGTGCATCTTGTATGAAATTAGTATTTTGTGTTTTGACCACGGTTGTCTGTCTATTTGTGTTCCGTGTTCTCTGCTGCTCTAACTGTTTTGCTTTCAGTAGGGTGGGACAAGGACCATCAACACCCCGTACCCCCCTTGAATGCCTTCTTGCTAACTTTTCTGACTTTTCCAGGAGATCCCAAGGCTACGGAACACCAGCCGATCCAGGGGTCCTCCGGACCCTTTGTGAATTGGAGTGGCCAACATTCCAAGTTAATTGGCCATCCGAGGGGTCTTTGGACTTGAGTCTTTTGTTTGCTGTGAGGTCTGTTGTGTACGGGGTTCCCCACCTCAATCAAAGGGTATACATTGATGTTTGGGTAGACATCGTGTCTGACAAGGCTAGTTATATCAAAAAATGCCAGCAACTAAAGGCAGGGGAGATGTATGCCAGAGTAGGTAGGAAGACTATTTTGGTTGCAGCTCCTAAGCCGCAAGGGAAGTCTATACCTCATACGAGTAGAGAAGAAAAAAAAAGAGCTCTGAGCCAGGAGAAACCTAAGCCTAGGCTATACCCTGTTCTTCCAGGTGACAATGATGACATTGCGGATGAGCTATTCAATCCCCCGCCTTATCCAAGAGGCTCACCCCAAGATCCAGAGCCACGGGTCCCAGAACCAGGACCTGATGTTAGAGTCCAAAGGCCTCCTCACACTAGGGGCGGAACCCCCTACCAGCCCCCTGTGGGCCCGGATTCCTCTGTGCCTCTTTTGCCCTTAAGGGAAGTTCTGCCACAACCAGGGGCACCCCAGGGGCCACCCCGGATGGTTTATGTCCCTTTCTCAACATCTGATTTATATAATTGGAAAAATCAGAATCCTCCTTTCTCAGAGGATCCACAGAAATTAATATCTCTTCTTGAAACCATTTTTCGTACACATCAGCCCACTTGGGATGATTGCCAACAAATTTTGCAAACTTTGTTTTCTTCAGAGGAAAGAGAGAGAATACACAGGGAGGCGGCAAAAATTATCTTAGGGGATGTAGAAGGGGACTCACATACCAGAAGGAATGAACTAGAGGAGCAACTGCCCACGAGCCCCCCCAGATGGAATCCGAATATGGATGCAGGCATGACGGCTTTGCGCCATTATCACCAGTCTCTGCTTAGGGGTCTAAGGGCTGCAGCCAAGAAGCCCACTAATTTGGCCAAGGTGAATGCTACCATACAGGGAAAAGATGAATCTCCTGCCGCCTTCTTAGAGCGATTGCTGGAGGCATATCGAATATATACTCCCTTAGAACCAAATAATGAGAATAACAGACGAATGGTTAATATGGCCTTCGTCTCTCAGTCAGCCCCAGACATAAGAAAGAAATTACAGAAATTAGAGGGCTTTGAAGGAAAGGCTATAATTGAACTAATAGAAATAGCCCAGAAAGTATACCAGAATCGGGAGGATCCCATCAGGGAACAAACTAAGCAGTTGTCCCGAATCTTATTAGCCACGCCTGAAAAGCAACAAAATAAGGTAAAGAAAAGAGCTAAGAAACTGCCTCTACACCGAGACCAATGTGCTTATTGCAAGGAGCGCGGCCACTGGAAATCTGAGTGCAAAAGGCGAATAAGCGAGAAAGGGGCAGAGGAACAAAAGCCTCGACAAGCACGCCTGCTGTTGGAGGCTGAAGACTGAGGGAGTCAGGGTTCCTACAAATTAGGCCCCCAGGAACCCATGCTAACATTAACAGTCGAGGGGAAACCTGTTGAATTCCTAGTAGACACGGGGGCCACATTCTCTGTTTTAAAAAAGAGTGATGGGGAACTCACCTCACAAAAGACTTCTATCATAGGGGCAACGGGAAAGCCTGAGTCCTATCCTTGGACACGAGCCCGCATTACCGACTTGGGAAAGGGCACTATCAAGCACTCCTTCCTAGTCATGCCGGATTGCCCTTACCCCTTGCTAGGGCGAGACCTGCTCCAGAAATTGCAAGCTACTATCTCCTTTGGGGACGAAGGGACAATATTACGGTTGGGAAAACAACCCTCCCAATCTATAATGGTAACCGTCCCTATATCGGAGGAATACTTACTCTATGCCTCTCAGGAAAAACCTGAATCCCCCTCTATTCAGATGCAAGAGCTATTGACACAGATTCCTGGGGTATGGGCAGAGCAAAACCCACCAGGGTTGGCCTCGCATCAACCCCCGATCATTGTCCAGTTGTTGAGCTCTGCCTCCCCGGTACGGGTCAAGCAATATCCGATACCCCAGAAGGCCAAAATTGGCATCGCCAAGCACATAAAAAGACTAAGGGAGACGGGGATTCTCAGGCCTTGCCAATCATCCTGGAACACTCCTCTCCTGCCTGTAAGGAAGCCTGGTACTGAGGACTATCGCCCGGTGCAGGACCTTAGAGAGGTAAACTCCAGAATTGAGACTGTACACCCAACTGTGCCTAACCCTTACACTCTCCTAAGTCTCTTGCCTCCAGATAGAACGTACTACTCTGTTTTAGACCTGAAGGATGCCTTCTTCACCCTCCCGCTGGCTCCCCAGAGCCAACTGATTTTCGCCTTTGAATGGACGGATCCTGAAGGAGGATTCTCTGGACAACTCACCTGGACGTGCTTGCCTCAAGGATTTAAGAACTCGCCAACCCTTTTTGATGAGGCATTAAGCCAAGACTTACTGGGATTCAGGGAATCCCAGCCTCAGGTAACCCTATTGCAATATGTTGATGATCTCCTCCTGGCAGCTGCAACCGCAGAGGAATGCCTAGAGACCACCAAGGCCCTTCTGAGGGAACTGGAGAGGATGGGATACCGGGTTTCAGCCAAGAAGGCCCAGATATGCATACGGAGGGCCACATACCTGGGATATCAACTACAAGGAGGTAAGAGGTCCCTATCTGCCAGTAGAATAGAAGCCATTCAGAATATACCCACTCCAACTACCAAGAAACAAGTCCGAGAATTCCTCGGCGCTGTGGGTTATTGCAGACTATGGATTCTAGGGTTTGCAGAAATAGCTAAGCCTCTCTATACCAGCACAGGGGGAAAAAGCACAGACTTAATTTGGACAGACCAAGAGGAGAAGGCTTTTCGGGCCCTCAAGCAGGCCCTGATTTTGGCTCCAGCTTTAGCACTGCCAGACATCACCAAACCCTTCCAGCTCTTTGTTGCAGAGAAGGGGGGCATCGCGAAGGGGGTCCTCACACAGACCTTAGGCCCTTGGAAGAGGCTGACGGCTTATCTCTCTAAGAGACTGGACCCGGTGGCAGCGGGATGGCCCTCCTGTATGAGGGCAATAGCTGCCACCGCCCTGCTTGTCAAGGAGGCCCAGAAATTAACCCTGGGCCAGGACCTCCAAATAATCGGAGGCCACACCACTGAGGCACTCCTGAGGACGCCCCCTGACAGATGGATCTCAAATGCCTGCCTCACTCAGTATCAGGTACTATTGCTAAACCCGCCCCATGTGACTTTCTCGAAGTCCACGGCCCTGAACTCGGCCACCCTATTGCCTGATGCTAATCAGGATGGACTCCTCCATGACTGCATAGAATTATTAGATACCCTGTCTGCTGGTCGGCCGGACTTGAAGGACACTCCCTTAACTAACTCCGACTATGAACTTTACACAGATGGGAGCAGCTATTTGAAGAATGGGCAACAATACGCCGGAGTGGCTGTAACTACAGAACATCAGGTAATATGGGCTCAGGCACTACCCCAGGGCACTTCAGCCCAGAAGGCTGGACTAATAGCCCTAACACAAGCTTTGCACTGGGCTAAAGGAAAGAGGGTAAATATCTACACGGACAGTAGATATGCCTTCGCAACTGCCTTGGTGCATGGGGCCCTATACCAAGAAAGGGGCCTGTTGACTTCGGCCGGTAAAGAGATTAAGAATAAGCAAGAAATTTTGGCCCTTTTGTCAGCTATATGGCTGCCCAAGGAAATAGCTATTATTCACTGTAGAGGACACAAGAAAGGGCCGGATTCAACCCACAAGGGTAATAATTTAGCTGATGAGACGGCGAGAAGGGTTGCCACGGAAGAAGTGCAACCCTTCAAGATCTTGCCCTTGTTGCCTTGCAGAACTTTGCCTACTTCCCCCAATTACAACAAGGAGGAACAAGAATTAGGGGCAAAGCTACACTGTGTTAAAGGGGAAGGAGACTGGAAAAAGCTCCCCAATGGGCACCTATTACTCCCCAAGGCATTAGGAATAACCCTGGTCCAGGACCTCCACCGGAGCACTCACCTAGGAATTTCTAAACTGATTTCTCTAATTAACAAACATTTTTATGTTCCAGACTTGAGAACTATAGTTACCTCGGAAGTTACCCACTGCTTGCCGTGTACTCAAGTAAACCCGGGGCCCTCTGTATCCAAGAACATAGGGATAAGGAATTGGGGACAAGAACCAGGAGAACACTGGGAATTGGATTTCACTGAAGTGGGCTGAAGCAGATATGGCTACAAATATTTATTAGTTTTCATAGACACTTATTCGGGATGGACTGAAGCTTTCGCCACAAAGGGGGAAACTGCCTCCATTGTAGCCCGTCACCTCCTGGCCGGAATCCTCCCATGATTTGGCTTACCCTTAGCACTGGGGTCTGACAATGGGCTGGCTTTTACGGCCAAAATCTCCCAAATCTTAGCAAAGGCTCTGAATATTAATTGGAAATTACATTGCATTTATCTACCTCAGAGCTCAGGGCAGGTAGAAAGGATGAATAGGACTCTGAAGGAAACGTTAACAAAATTAAAATTAGAGACTGGTGAGAATTGGGTAAACCTTCTTCCCTTTGCATTATTAAGAACTAGGTGTACCCCCTACTTGAAACACCTAACACCATTTGAGATCCTATATGGAAGGCCCCCACCTATCCTCCCCAGAGTCCCTTTAGAATACATAAATGAATTGACTAACCAAGAGTTTCTTAAGTCCTTACAGGCAATCCAAGCAATCAGAAAAGAAGCAAAATTGTTAGCAGACCAGAGACCTCAACCAAAGACTGCTTCACCTCCTGCCCTGGATATAGAACCAGGAGATTGGATTTGGACTAAGAAGTTCAGCAAGGAGACATTAGAACCCACCTGGGAAGGCCCTCACCTTGTGATCCTGTCAACACCCACGGCCTTCAAGGTAGCCGGGAGAAAGCATTGGATCCACCACACCCAGGTAAAAAAGGCACATCCAGACCAAATTCCCCGGACATGGAAAGTGCACCGGGGCCAAGGGGATTCATTAAAACTCAAATTTGTCTCGATTTCTTGATGACCATTTTGCTTGGAGTTTCTGACACTACCCCACCTAAATTCCAATGGGTCATTATCCGGACCACTGATGGCAGGCAGATTGCTACCAACGCTACTTGGTCGACTGGTATGGTCACCCTTACTACTGATTTCTCCAAGTTCTTTGATGATAAACTTTGTGATACGGGACTATTCTTAACTAGATGGCCGGGGGGGGACTATCACCGCTGAGGGGCTATCTCTTGGGGAATGCTCCAAAGGAAAGATGAACCAGGGCCTGTGGAATACCCCCCATTATATCTGTCCTGAAACGCCCTCGGGCAGGCGCTTCACCTGTGGGTCCCTATCTGACTTTTACTGTAAGGCCTGGGGTTGCGAAACTCTGGCCCTTTCATGGGTGCCAACCAAAGGGGACCCTGATATCCTCTTCCATAGGTACACCAGCCCCAAACCCCAACTTATTAACAGAGAGGATCCTGACCCTAAATGTGAAAGTCAGACTTATAACCCTACAACTGTAACTATAAACAATCCCCATGACCCAACATGGGTCACTGGAAAGACTTGGGGACTAAGACTCTACTCAGCGGGGACTGACCCAGGGGTACTTTTCACTATTCAGAAGCTCCCCTGGGTTCCTCCAATGCGCACTGAGGACCCCCACTTCGGCCTCCCTATAAAGACTCCCATAGGCCCTAATCAGATTCTTAACCCGAACTACAACTCCACTGGAAGGCTGAATACTACCATTGCCCCATCAGTCGACAATCTCCCTCAGGTTCCGCCCACTACATTTAGCAATTCTCTACTAACCATGTTAGACTCTGTTTCTCTCTTTTGAATGAGACTCAAGCCACCATCACCAGAGACTGCTGGCTATGCATTGATCCAGCGCCTCCTTATTACGTGGGAATTGGAGCTAATATCACCGGAGGATCCACTTTCCGGAATGTCACCCTCTCAGACTCCGACAGCCCCGGGACTGGAAATCTAACGGCTTGTGCAGGCCAAGGCAGACTGACTCTTAGCGAGTTACAAGGACAGGGAACCTGCTTCACCATTGGGGACTACAGCCTGGATTACTCGCCATATAGAGACAACTGCTTGACCAACACCTCGCTGAAACCCACTAACAGCCCTTGGACCCTCATAGCACCGAATGGGACTTGGTTTGCCTGTATGTCGGGGATTCATAGATGTATCTCCCCAGGAAGCAGGCCTGATCTCTGTATAAGTACCTATATTATTCCACAGGTCTACCTATATGCTGGGCCCACAGGAGATGCCCATTTCTTAGCCCAAGATCAGCATCCCCGGTTGCAGAGGAGGACCCCTATTCTAATCCCCATTCTGACCACTTTAGGTATAGCCGAGTCAGCAGCGGTTGGCACCTCAGCCTTAATTACAAATAACATAAATATTAAAAAGCTCTCTGCCACATTTTCCAAGGACATCTCCCTCCTCCAAACACAGGTCGGATACTTAGAAAGACAAGTTGACTCCCTAGCTGAGATGGTCATGCAAAATAGGCGAGGGTTAGACTTACTATTTCTGAAACAAGGAGGATTATGTGCGGCCCTCGGGGAGACGTGTTGCTTTTGTGCCAACCATTCAGGAATTATTAGACAGTCCATGCAAGAACTCCAGAAGAGACTGAGAGAAAGGGAACTTGAAGAGAGATCCCACGAGTCATGGTATCAGAGTCTATTTAATTGGTCCCCCTGGCTCACAACCTTAATATCTGCCATAGCTGGGCTGCTATTCTTATTGCTCTTAGGGCTCACCTGTGGCCCCATAGTACTAAACAAACTCATAGCTTTCATAAAGGAAAGAGTCCAATCAGTAAAGCTCATGGTACTAGCTCAGCCATACCAGAAGCTCCCCCAGCGAGGGGACCCATTTGATGAGTCAAGGGTTTGACACACTAGCAACAGGAGTGGGGAATGTTAGGGTCTGAGAGTGCCCCGAGGCTCCCAGAGGCCTTCGCGGGAAACAAAGGGCCAAAGAAAATTTTCCAGTCGTCTCCTAGCTAAACCCCCTCCCTTTCCTAGCAATTCTCCAAGGACATCTTGAGAGCATCTTGAGCCTTGGGAAAACCACCTGCAGGGTGTACGTGCCAAAGAATGCTTCTGCAAGGCCAGCTAACCGCTGATATCTGCTTCTGTACATCCTGCTTGCTTGCAATTTGCACCACAACCCCCCTATAAAACTCAGCCATACTAGCTCCTGGGGGCTGCTGCTCTCGGCTGTGTCCGTAGGGGGCAGACCCTGCATGCAGGTTTTAGCATAATAAAGCACATTCAAATCTAAAGAATTAAGTCTGAGTGTGGTCGATCTCCTGGGTTACAACACCTTCAGCCAGAAACCACAGAACCAGGTTGGCATGGTGTTGACCTTGATGGTCATTAGTGTAGGCAGGATGAGAGTGTATGGTCCCTTCTAGGCTGGAGTCAGTCTTTGGGTGGTAGACTTCTCTACCCACACTGAGTCTCTGGGCTGGAAAGGGTTCAGAGGGTCTGAGGTGGGTACAGAAAGGTCATTGCAGATGCGTTTATGAATAGCTTTCTGGGTAGACTGCAGGGCCTGCAAGAACTGTAAGAAGGTGAGGGGAAGCAGAGTGGTCCAGTTTTCACTGGTTTCTGAAGTAAACTTTGTTAAGGTTTTCTTTAAAGTCCTGTTTATGTGCTCTACCTGCCTGGAATGCTGTGGGTGGTAAGCACAATTGAGCTTCTAATTTATCCTTATCCTCTTAGAGATATCCTGTGATATCTTTGCTATAAAGGTAGGGCTATTGTCTGATGCAAGGGTTGGAAGTAACCTAAGTCTGTTACTCTCTTTATTACATCCCAGACTGTTAAGCTATTATTAGGGAGAAGCTATCCCTTTTTTACTCAGTGTCCATTTTTCTTTCTTGTGTATTTTTTCAATGTCCTGACTGTGTAATATGTGTGTCCTTTTCTTTTATTTATTTTTTTACTTTCTTTGCATAAGTTTTCTTTAACATTCATAGACCATCTTCAACTTTCCTAGTTCTTCCCCTGACATTCATCTGAGACTCGCTATCTGCAGTCTATACATTTTCCAGTTTTTTTGTCTCCTGCTCTGTACTCAGATTTACACATTCCTGTTTGCCTCTGTCTTCTCTCTTTCCCTGTGACCTTACTGAACATTGCCTGCCACACAGGATTTTAGTAAAGTTAGTATAACCTAAGTGGATATGCTGATGCAGCTGGTTGACTAGAATGTGACCCAGAGCTGCTGGAACTACCAATGTCCCATCAGGCAGTGTCCATTATCTATTGAATATCTTTTTTACTTGTTTCTGATTGGCTAAGTCATTTTCTGACCTAGTGTATCTGGTGAGGCCCCAGCTGACCACTAAGCTTTCTGATCTGTGGCAGATTTGCCTTGCCTCATTGAAGAACCTTGTTTAAGGCTATGAGTTTGGCCCATTGGGCTGAGGTTTTCCTATTCAAAAACTCTGACCAAATGACACAGTCCTGCATTACTAGTGCTGCCCTGGCATATCTGATTTCTACCTGTACATAGGTGCTTTCATCCATGAATAATACCTCATCTGATGATGGCAGTAGGACATTCTTGAGGTTTGGGTGAGCTCTCTGCTCTATGTCAATTTCCTCCAGGATGTCCTGTACAGGTTACTCTGGGTCATCATCTGGAGGCTGGCTGGCTGGCAGAATTAATTGATGGCTAACATTGTAGAAATTGATGTGGGGCTGGCCTAGAGTGGCAGTTGCCAGTAACTGAACAATCACTGGACAAGATTGTCTGAGTAAGGGGTATGGGCACTCTAGCATGACCAGAAAGAAATGAGTCACAGTACTTTTTCCATCTCTAGACCTCTTTGAAGTCTAGGAATAGGTTAGGGGCCAATTGTCTTGGTCAGGACTGAGTCTGCTGCACAAGTATCTACCAGCAAATCAATCAGTTTGTCCCCTATTGTCTTGTTATTCTTAGATCCTGAGGGCTCAGTTGAAAGGAACCTTCCCTATCATTTTTTTAAGTTAAAGATAGCTTTTTACTTTGTTCCTCTACACCTGACTTTGCTCTTGTCTTTTTTATTCCTAACTAGGACCTAGGCCTGCTGTCCTGACCCTTCTTTATGATTCCCTCTCTAGAATGATCTCTTTTTATTGGCCCTGCTTCTCTTAAGGCAGCCTTTATTACCTTTCCTATTCT